ATGTTCACCTTAAAGGCGTGCTAGGTAACCTGCTATTACTATAGGCTAACAACGTGTCTGAGTTAGTTTACCCTGCTACACACTGTGCTGTCTTTATCCTGCGAGTGGTCAGCGCCTTTAGTGTTAAAATTAAATTTTTTTTTACTAATATTTGGTCACTGTCAAGCTATAAACCCACAACAGCCTAAACAGAGAGAAATTATGTTAGTATTTTACATTATAATCACTATTTTACTGCACTGTAAAAAATGGCTCATCAGATCTACCTAAAAAATGACTTCATGTGGTAACAAGTAAATTAACCAGTTTTATTCAACCTAAATAAATACTTCGAATTAACGATTATTTCAATCAGTGTAGTTTTTAAGTTGAATAAAACTAGTTCAATTGCTTGTTACCACATCAAGTTTTTTTTTTTAGGTACATCTGACGAACCACTTTTTACAGTGTATATTACTATAGTAACACTTTACTGTAGACACATGTCTGCATAGTTGGTCACGCAGCACCAACAGCACCCTCTAAAGCTCTGGAGTACTTCTTGTTGTAGTCGAGACATAATGGGAAAACATTGTCCATATTTCTCTAAATATCTAAATTTAAAGTTTAATTTTGACCGTCAAAATGGTGGTGAATTTTCTGCTTAGCCTATCAATCAGATGGTCAGTCCTGAAAACTTTACACAAAAAAACACACTTGTGTTGGTGCATTAAAGATGCACCACAATTTCAGCCACTGAAAACAAAATTGACCATATTCAGCCGATTTCTTTGGTGACTGAAATTGCAGTGCATCCTTAGTAGAACATGTGCAGTCTATCAAATTCTAAAACTTAAAGAATCATTTGGTTGATTATGAAACAAGAAACAGTGATTAAAAATGCTCTTTTTCCTTCGCTGTCCTGCACCGGTCATTGCTGATGTGTTCAAACAGCTTGAGCAGCAGCAGATCAACAGTGGAAAAAAAACACTTCTCAGTTTCTATGAAGTACATTAGACAAGCAATTTATAATCTCTATTAATCCCAGGTATCAGGAGAGGCCACAACACTTAATAACCTCTCTATTACAGGCTGGATATCACTTAAAAAACATAATATCCCACTCAGAACACAGAAGCAGAACGGAAAGACCCTGCTAGCCCGCCGATGCTATCCCGTAGCTTCAGTTTTTGATATGATGAATAAATTTACAAACGATGGTACAAAAGTGAAAGAATAACAAAAAAAGATGATCCACTGTTCTCTGATGTTTGATTTCTTTGCACATTCTGAAGTCTACATACCGTAATAATTTTAGTGCGTTTATTTTACGTAAACTGTTTTTATTGTCAGCTTGGTTTTGTCTTATTGAAAGTAGGTTTCACCAATAATAAAAAGTGTATTTTCTTTCTTACCTTGTTTTTATGTTTAATATGTTTATTCATAAGCATAAATAAAACATCAAAATAAAATTTAAAAAAATCAGGAATTTTCATTTTTCCTATCATTTGAAATGAATGCACTGAATTTTATCAAACCTGCATGTCAGCCACAGTTTCTCATTATGTTTAATGGCATTTTCGCCAATGCTCTGTAAAGCTTGTCTAACCTAGCAACAGTAGCTATGAAAGAACACGTATGTGGGCGTAGCATGGATAGATCAATTCATCTCATACCGACTAAACCAATAATCTAATATGGCGTATATTAAGAATGACTGAATTAATGCATGCTGATCAGGCAGTACTCTTGCACAGGAACAAATGCAAAACATTGTTTATAATATGATTACAGTGCTACACTTCAGTAACAGAAAACTAAAACAAACTGTTTTCTATTTCTCTGTTCAGTAGTTCAGCAGTTCTCCTGCACTGCAGTTCTGTGCTTTTCCTGCTCCAACACACCTGACGCACCTCATTAGCTTACTATCAGGCCGAAACAGGGGCGGAAAACACCAAACTGTGCAGGTGGAGTGGAGGAGCAGGATTAAAACCGCTGATCCAGCACATTAGCGCTGAGCTAAAACAAGCGAAAGCAGTGAGCACTTACCCGCATCATCACATTCACTTGGCCTAAAAAGATGCATGGCAGCTGTACTTCATACCAAGCCTTTGTAGCAAAATGTGGGTAAAGGCAGAACAACTTAAATAAAAAAAAAAAGATGCATTTTGTTTTTTAAATCAGAGGAATGAAATACAGTACTGTGCAAAAGTCAGAAGTCACCCTTTATTATTTTTTTTTATTATTTCCAGTCAAAACAGCCATTAAGTTATTTTCACTATCAGAAAAAAGCAGTAAACACTCATTTGCAACAGAAGATATTTGTGAAGAGATTAGACTTAAGATAATCCACTTGCATGAGGAAGGGGTCACACTGCTGTAAGAGTGCGGGAGATGCGGCCATGCAAAGTGGCCATGCGGAGAGGCCCTTGGGAGGCGCCACGCTCCCAGTAAGAACTGGACAAAATTTGTTGTTTGTGCTGCCAGCTAACATGTAGCCATGAGCACTTCCCATAGGAGAAATCGTGGTTTCTCCCGTGGCTTGATGCTTTGGTGTCAGAAGTGGGATAGTGCCCTGTTATGGCGGGGAGCGGAACAGTGCTTTTGAAGAACTTCAGGAAGGCACAGCCCGGTATAAGACCGCTACAGACGGCCTAATGGGGCATGACAGCAGAGTCAGACGCCATAATATAAAGAAAACAGGTGTTTCTGTCCATCCTTCCACTGTGAGAAGACGACTCAGCACTATGGGTCTGAAAGGATGTGTAGCTGTCAAAAAGTTGTTATTGAGAAAAGAAAATGTGGTAATGTGAAAATGTAGTTTGATGAACTAATTAGTCTAAGTTTATTGTTGGGATTATTTGGATTGCGAGAAGCAGAAATTGCAACCAACTTCAAAGACTGAACTTTAGAGGTGTGGAAAAACATCCCTGCAGATTGGAAAGAACAGAAGCCGTAATAAAGGCAAAACGTGGACACACTAAATGCTAAAAAACTGTGATATTATGTTTGGTTGTTCAGTGGAGGGTTCTGGGTAATTTTCTGATGAATATATGTTTTCTGCTTATAAATAACTTGTTCATAATGCACGTTTTGTCTGGAAATCAGTGCTTGCTGGCTTTTGCACACTACTGTATGTAGTTAAAAAACATTCCTCTGCATTCTTTTAGTTCATCTACAGTCAGTTAGCACTGGACTTAATCTGTCTTCACAGTCAAAACCAGTCAGTTGTGGAACCAATTCTAGAGGGAACTATAGAGAGCCATTCATTTTCTTTATCTCTGAGGAGCTTTCTGGGCCGCACTCCTCTGTTCCAGCACTTACTCTGTCAGGCATTTGTCTTGTGACCGTCTCACTAACTCAGTTATGCTCCTCCTTTGACTCAATACTCCCGTCGCTTTCAGAGAAACACACTGCTTCTGCTCCACAGCACAGCATCTCCACAATGTTCCACAGCACAAAACACAGCAATGCACCTAGGCTTGTTATTCAGTTAATAATCTAAAGACTGATTATTCCATGAATACTACAAATTACTCAGTAAATACTAAAAATTACTCAATAACCACTACACATTACTTACTAACTATTACAAATTACTCAATAACCACTACAGATTACTCATTAGCTACTACAAATTACTCAATAACCACTACAAATTACTCAGTAAATACTAAAAATTACTCAATAACCACTACAAATTACTCAGTAAATACTACAAATTACTCAATAACCACTACACATTACTCATTAGCTACTACAAATTACTCAATAACCACTACACATTATTTAGTAACTATTACAAATTACTCAATAACCACTACACATTACTTAGTAACTATTACAAATTACTCAATAACCACTACACATTATTTAGTAACTATTACAAATTACTCAATAACCACTACAAATTACTCATTAGCTACTACAAATTACTCAATAACCACTACACATTATTTAGTAACTATTACAAATTACTCAATAACCACTACACATTACTTAGTAACTATTACAAATTACTCAATAACCACTACACATTATTTAGTAACTATTACAAATTACTCAATAACCACTACACATTACTTAGTAACTATTACAAATTACTCAGTAACCACTACACATTACTTAGTAACTATTACAAATTACTCAATAACCACTACAAATTACTCATTACCTCTTAAAGATCACTCAATAACCACTACACATTACTTACTAACTATTACAAATTACTCAATAACCACTACAAATTACTCAGCAAATACTACAAATTACTCAATAACCACTACACATTATTTAGTAACTATTACAAATTACTCAATAACCACTACAGATTACTCATTAGCTACTACAAATTACTCAATAACCACTACAAATTACTTAGTAACTATTACAAATTACTCAATAACCACTACAAATTACTCATTAGCTACTACAAATTACCCTATAACTACTAGAAATTACTCATTAGCTACTAAAAATTACTCAATAACCACTACAAATTACTTAGTAACTATTACAAATTACTGAATAACCACTACACATTACTAATTAGCTACTAAAAATTACCCTATAACTACTACAAATTACTCATTAGCTACTACAAATTACTCAATAACCACTAATTATTTAGTAACTACTACAAATTCCTCGGTAACTACTACAAAATATCCAGTATACACTAACTACAAATTATTTATTAAATTATTAAGTAAATGCTACAAATTACTCTATAACCACTACAAATTACTCAGTAACTACTACAATGAATTCAGTAAATTACTAAGTAAACACTATAAATTATTTAATAACCTACAAATTACTCAGTAATTACCATAAATCATTTAGTAACTATTAAAAATTACTCACTAACTACTAGGAAACTAAAATGCAAGTTAACATAGCATAACACAGGCCCCAGGACAGGCACATGCATCTCAAAGCAGCACAGACCTCTTCAACAGAGCCCTAGAAAAAGCTCAGCTCAGCTCATCGCGACATGTCCGTCGAGACCGTCCACTCACCGAAGTTGATGTTGTAGTCGCCTCCCCTCTCGCGATACATCTGATAGACGAAGAAGCAGGACAGAGGTTTGAGTATGAGGCTGAGGATGGCCATCCCCGCGCTGAAGCGGAACGTGTCGTTCCCTGCCAAACTTTCATTTCTCGGGTAGAAAATTCCAAAGTGGACGATGTCTGTCAGTATCGTCAGCATCATCCCAATCAGGAACTGGGAGAGAAAAGCAGAAGAGAGTGGTTTGGTGGGTTTAGAGCAGTGGCTTTGAAGTGTGGGACCACATATTATTGTTATTAACCGGAAGATTTATTTTTCAGTAACTTTTCAGTATCTTAAGTGATTCAGTGTAAATGTGGCAACTTTACCGGTAAAGACAAAAACATTTACTTTAATGTAAGTTGATGTAGGAGATTTTATTCCAGATACATTTTTTTTGACAGCCACAATATGTACATTTTATATAGCTTTTTTTATATATATAAATCTTTTTATCTTGATGATTTTCATTCATTTGGTAAATTTCATTTAATTTTTTTTGATCTCTTGTAATTAGCTTAGCTACACTGTAAGTGAGAGTCACTTAATATACAACCAAGTCAAATTAAAGGATGATTAATTGATTGACTGACTGACTGACTGACTGACTGATTGATTGATTGATTGATTGATTGACTGATTGACTGCAGCATATTAAAGTATATTATATATTGTATATATTATATGTATAAAAATACTATAATAAATCTACAGCTACAATGATTTTTATGCAGTATTTCACAAACCACCCTGCATTAAATCCAATTAAACATGACTAAATATGTTCTCTTTGTAAAGAAACATACAGTTGTTCAGTTCTCTTTAAGTACTGACGATATGAAAAGCGTATTGTGACAATATCGCAATACACAATAAAATATCGCCACATTGCCCACCCCTCACTATGTGACATTTGGGGATTTGGAGACCTCTCTGGTGGAAGTGTGTAATTGCATGCAATATTTCGTAACATGGGCTGAGCCTCAGACTTCTTCCTGAAGTGGACGTATCCGATGATTGCGAGCACGTTCATAGAGAATTCGAAGAGAACTCAGTCAAAGCTTGGTGAAGGACAGGTCTCCTAAGGATGTGAGTGAATTATCAACTACTGTGATCAGATTTTCATCAGCGTAATGCTGATTTTGCATTGGAGACCTAAACAACGAGCTGGACCTTCTTTTTGAGTCTGTGACTTTAAAAGGGAAAAATGTATGATCTGAAAAACTTGCATGAAATCCAATAGAACAGCCCTGACTTTTAAATGATTATTTCAGGCTTTACAGGGCGACTCACAGCAGCACAAGCACACAATTTATTTTAGCATATTCTTTTTCTCCTGGCTCACTTTTAAAAATTAATCTTACGTAGTGCAGCTTTAAGTAGGACAGGATTAAATCAATGATTCCAGTGGAACCACTGACTTCAGCTATCGCTAAAAGCTATACCGATCTGCAATAAGGGTGCATATGTGGGCCCACACTTCAATACCAGTCTAATACTACTGTAAACTCCTGTGTTACGCTGCCCACGTCTGTTTTCCCCTCTTGTTTACTTTACCTTGTGTCTCTGGCCAAGTGCTTCTGTTTATTTTGGTTTTCCTGCTCCTCTCTTTCCCCTCACCTGTGCCTTATCTGTTGCCCTGGCCTGTAACTGTTGCCAAGTGTTTCTTGTGTGTTTCCCCCTGAATCTATTCCCCTTATGTTTGTCCTGTTCATGGCTTGGTGTTGTTTACTGTGTGACTTCAAATTCTAGTTTTTGCTTATTTATTTCTAGCGTTGAGATTTGCTTGAGTTCTGTTTTTTCACTGCCATTTTCATCATGGACACGAATAAAACTCCCAGCTCGCACTTACATCCTGCTTTCCTGTCTGATCGTCTCCTACCTCATTACAACACTGACTCAGTTTCATATTAGTTACCAAACAATATGTAGTAATAAGTCTTGTGATTAATAACTGAACAACAAGCCTGCAGTTAAAGAAGAGAAAAATTCCACCTTTCCGAAAATGTCTGCATAATTAAATGGCTAAGATGTAAACAGAGTCATTCGGAGCGGTTTGTGTGAAACGCTCCATTCTAGAGAAATTACAGAGTCAGAGCTGTTTACAGTGGTGGTGATAGGAACCCTCCCAAAAAGCTATTACATGAAATGGTTATGAATATGTGCCCAATTCCTAATCCATTCATGGTGGAGAGTTACATGCAGGGTGTTCTAAGGCAAAACAGTGCCCGAAAACATATTTACCACTCGTTTACTATTATCAAGATTACACACAAAAACAAAAAGACACACGTAGATTCATTTTGGATAGTAAATAAAATGTCTATATTTGTGTTTTGCATTGCGACCCCTGGTTCCTATCACCACCACTGTAATCTGAAATCTGAGTCTGTAAGTTCCTCTACATTTGAATGACTTGGTTTACATCTCAATGACTGAATTATGCCAAATTTTTGAGAATCTGCTGGAATTCCCCTTTAACACTGTAGTAAAACAATGAGCATACATAGAGACGTTTACCATTTGATGAGTGCTTCTCAGTAATCCACTCTATTTACTGGATTCAAGTGTGTACATCATTTCCAACTGAATAAAATTGACTCATCTTTCCTTTGGGAACGACTGTACTGCAATATATTTTATTAAGGGCGGCACGGTGGCGCAGTGGGTAGCGCTGTCGCCTCACAGCAAGAATGGCCTGGGTTCGATTCCCGGCCGGGTGACCAGGGTCGTTTCTGTGTGGAGTTTACCTGTTCTCCCCGTGTCTGCGTGGGTTTCCTCCGGGTACTCCGGTTTCCTCCCACAGTCCAAAGACATGCAGTCAGGCCAATTGGACATGCTGAATTGCCCCTAGGTGTATGTGTGACTGTGTATGTCTGTCTGTCTGCCCTGCGATGGACTGGCGACCTGTCCAGGGTGTATCCTGCCTTCCGCGCCAATGACAGCTGGGATAGGCTCCAGCACCCCACCGCGACCCAGAAGGATAAGCGGTTTAGGTGATGTATGTATGTATATTTTATTAATGTAGTAATGATGTACGCATTTGAATCAAGTCAATTTATGACATCTTTCAGTGTAAAATGACTTTATATCTTTGTAAATCACAATGCAGAGTCTGCTTGGTCAGCATAATAACAGCTGTAGTGACCTACCATTAGTACAGCATCTACTGAGTCTCTCTGAGCGATGGCCCACACACCCACAGCCAAAACGCTGAAATTTCCCCAGGCGTAGGAAATAGGCAACCAGGCCATGCAGCCCCTGTTATTGCACATGAGATTATTACACAATTAGATGTCACATTTTAGGGAAACAGAACAAGGCATTGCAGAATGAAGACATTATGAAAGTAGCAACATCCGTTTGTGGGTCAGTTTTTGGTGTGCTGAGAAAAAGTATGACAACATTTCTGATACTGTAGCTCTTCTAAACAACTGAGTAGATGACAATGCAACACATTTTAATAAATGGCATCTACTGAAGTCTATTTTACTGAAAAAGCATGGTGAAAACATGTATATATGCTTTGAGACATATACATGACAAGTCATGGTCACTAGCCTTTCTTTATAGTATACAGTATAGTTTACAGTATATTCTTCTGCCTCTCACCAGTGGTCAGTTTCTGACCATAGAGCCACTGTCTGCCGGATATTTCTGTCTAATGACTCTTTTCAACCTGGCCTTCAGGCATTGTGTCATATTTGAGTACCTCTCAAAGTAAAATAAGACATTTTCGGACATTTCATGGCATTAAAATCTATATTAAGACTTTAAGGACCAGGTTCCAGTTCTGGGACTGAAAGTTTAGTCAGATGTTCACAAAATCTTCTAAACCTGTTAAATTTCTTTTTTTTTTTTTTTACAAGAAATTTTTACAGGATGAGGATGTAAAACAATACAGGTATTGGGGATATGCATTCAGAATACGGAAATTAAGCATCTGTATTCAGCCCAAGTTACATTTTGTAAAGACAGTATTCAGAGTACTGTTACTTATCCATTTTTAGGAGAACACTTTTAGAACACGTATCCACTAAAATGAAAAATATATACCATTAAAAGAAACACCATCAATGCTTGTTCATTATCTATTTTGAAATTAGTGCATGGCATGTAAAGACATACTGTACAGAAGAACTCAGAAAACAGCTTCTTTACAAACTGAAAAGTGCTAAAGCCTCAGTAGACGGATCAATCAATGTGATCGGTTATTAATCTCAGTGTTACTGAGCTCTGCTAAAGCCTGAGTAGACTGATAAATCAATGTGATCGGTTATTAATCTCAGTGTTACTGAGCTCTGCTAAAGCCTGAGTAGACTGATAAATCAATGTGATCGGTTATTAATCTCAGTGTTACTGAGCTCTGCTAAAGCCTGAGTAGACTGATAAATCAATGTGATCAGTTATTAATCTCAGTGTTACTGAGCTCTGCTAAAGCCTGAGTAGACTGATAAATCAATATGATCAGTTATTAATCTCAGTGTTACTGAGCTCTGCTAAAGCCTCAGTAGACTGATAAATCAATGTGATCGGTTATTAATCTCAGTGCTACTGAGCTCTGCTAAAGCCTGAGTAGACTGATCAATCAATGTGATCAGTTATTAATCTCAGTGTTACTGAGCTCTGCTAAAGCCTGAGTAGACTGATAAATCAATGTGATCAGTTATTAATCTCAGCATTATTAAACCTTTTTGAGTAATTAGTAATGCTGAGTGATATTTACCCACTAAGTGGATTTTCCATTAAATATTAACAGAAGAATTAAATAAAGAAAACGGCCGAGCAGTAACAGCGAGGAACTGTGCGAATTAAATGAAAATGACATAATAAAATGAATGTGTTCTGAATATGTTACTGTTTTATGTATTGTTGTGTGTTCAGTGTTCATCAATAGTTTTTCAGTGTTCAGCCCAGCTCTGATATTTCTCGGTGAAAACTTGCTGAACTTGATTTATCTGGCCTGGAAATC